ATGTTTTATATCTTATGTCTCAAAATCATTTATTTTGATTGTCAGCCCCTCCCCCCCATTGCATTATTCTGCCAAATATGACCAGAACCAGCATTTACATTCAGGACATTATACATCTGATAATTTCATATTTTAAATATAAACTCTATGTATGGAAAATGTCAAAATTTCAGATTACCCAGTGGTATATATTCAGTCAGTGCTATAACTGCAGCATTTAAACGTAAGTCATATTTGCAACTCGAAGCACTGGAAACATAATAAGCATAATTATTTTTTTAAAAAACACAAAAAACTTTAGCCTATAGAAAATGTGGTCACCAAACCCCACAGCTTCCTAACTTATGCTGGGGTTGCAAACTGAAGCTTGAGTAATATTGTCCTAAAGGTTTGCGAGAAAAGTCTTCAAAAATCAGTGAGTGAAAATCTCAGTGTTGAGTTGATACAAAGAGTTATTGTTATGCTCCTTTCTAGATCTCATGGAAGATCAATTTCCAATTAAATATTTGACAGGAGAACCGTCTGGACAGAATAAATTGAAAAATCAGATTCACATCTCTGCTTTTTCCTGAAAATAAATAACTGCCTGTGTTAGCCATTTGCTTTTAGCAGCAGGCTTACTAAACATAGTTATCTGAGGCTACTTGTAAAGATGGCTATTTGCTGTGAAGCAGATTCTTTTGTTAGACTTGTGCATAGGAGCCTCAAACAAGTCTGAGAAGAAATCTGCCATTCTGCTCAGCTCCCATAAAAACATACAGGAAAGGAGAATATAAGTCCTTTTTATTCTTACGTGTAGTTGCAATGGGAAGCCTTGCATGGTGGATAACCATAATAAAATGCTGTCTGTTCTCCTCTTGGCGGTGTACATTGGTGTACAAGTGCTTCAGACACCTTCTAGAGAATGAAACATACTTTGTAAGAGGTGGGCAATAATTTTTGATGGGGGGGGGGGAGCACTCAGAATTTGGTAAGTGGTCAAGGCCTGCACTCTTTTATTATGTTAATGGAGGAGGTTTGGGGACTTGGATGGAGGTTAGGTCAGAAGGGATCTCGGAGTAGAGGATTGCAGTGCATGAAGGTGTGTGGTCTGAAGGGAGTATGGGTGAAGGATGGGGTTGTGACCCGGAGCAGGGGATTGGGGTGGAGGAGGGGGCGCAGAGGGTTTAGGTTGTGACCTAGGGTAGGAGAGTGTTATGACTTCGGGCAGGGGATGGAGGTGCAGGGTTTGGGAGGGGGTATGGGTGCAGAAGAGGATTCTGGAGATGGGACGTAGGATGGGTGTAAGGTTGGGGTCTGTGTGAGAGATCCGGAGCAGGGGTTTGGGTTATGATCAGTAGTCCCTCTAACATTTTCTACCCTTGGGCAGGTTGAATTTTCTTATGTGCACCATCAGTATTGAGGTAGTGTGTAGATGTATACCACCAATACAAACAGAACATACTGTGTGTATGTACACACTCACACCCACCATATATATATATAAAGCAGTCCATATGTGTGGAATAAAATATATTAAAACAAGACACCTGTGACTAGTTGCTGTGAGGTACACTGAAGCTAGGTCTACACTACAGAGTTTTTGCGTAAAAACAGCTGTTTTTGCACAAAAACTCGTGGAGTGTCCACACCTAAAGTGTGTTTTTGCACAAATAAAACAAAAGAAGAGAGGGGTTTTTCCAGTGTAGGTATTCCTCCTCCTACGAGGAATAACTCCTTTTTGCGCAAAAAGGTGTGTGAGGACAGGCAACAGGGGGTTTTTGCGCAAAAACAGGAAAGAGGAAAAAGCACAGGTGCCCTGCTGGCCATTCTGTGGACAGCTATCAGCGCTTTCTTTCGAGAGAGCGTCCATACAGTGTGGACACTCTCTTGCACAAAAGCGCATCGCTTTTTCTATGTGCTTTTGCAATATGGAGGCTCTGTTGTGCAAGAAGTTTTTGTGGACGATCTCTTCCGCAAAAAGCTTCTTGTGCAAGAAACCTGTAGTGTAGATATAGTCTTAGTGAATACAAAGGTGTTGTACAAAGGTAGGAAATTAACCTTTCCCTGGAGGAAGAGTAGAAGCCCAGAACAAATTAACACATGGCTTCAGGGTTTGTAGACATTTGCATGTCTCAAAAAGCTTGCAAATAAGGTTTCATCCTACAAAACAGCTAGCATCACACCCAGTACTTGTTACTTCTAACTCATAAAAGCCAGAACTCTACCAGACAGCAAAGATCTGACCTTAATGCAACACAATTTACCATGTATTAATTACTAACACTGAATTTAAAAAAATCATTAAGTTCAGAGTTTAGCCATCTGCAGCATATCAAAAAATTTTGTTAAAAGAATTTAAAAAACCCAAACAGTTTTTTCAGCTACATATTAACACAGCTACCCCTCTGCCTGTGTGGGGAGCTTTGAACCTTTGTACAGGGCTCAGAACGTAGCTGTGCGGCCGCTTAGTCACGTAGCTTAGAGGGAACTTTGGTTGGGACCTAAGGCAGGGAGTTCAGGTGTAGGAGGGGGTAGGTGTGTCAGGTGCAAGCTCTGTGTTTTGTTGTTTCATATTTAGAGTTATTAACCTTATAAAATAATTTAATATGATGAACATATGCTGTAAAAGACAAATATAAAGTGGTATATTCTATTCATCAGTTCTTAAAACTTGTGGCTAATAACTGTGGGGCGCAGGAAGGTGGAGGAGGCAGGATAATTAATGTTGGAAGTAACAAGAAAAACAGAATACTCAGACTTTGTAAACATTTGAGCAGAACTGTGTCAAAATATGATCAAGGACACCTAATTTCCTGATTGTTCACCACAAAGATTATAACAATTTCAATAAATAGTCTGTTTTCCATAGGTTTAGTTGTATGTTTCAGGACTGAAGGCTTTCCTCATGATTTATAAGTCCCATGACTTTAAAGTCTGTAACTTTAAAAACAATGAGTAGTCCTGTGGCACTTCAGAAACAAACAGTATGTATGTGTGTGTGTGTGTCTAATATATATAATAATCATGAGCTTTCATGGGCCAAACCCACTTCAGATGAGCTTGAGTGGAGACTATCCTATCCTATTTTATCGATCGATCTATATTTGTTAGTCTCTAAGGTGCCACAGGTCTACTTGTTTGTCATGATTTATGACTATCTTACTCTGTATATCTAGTCAAGTATGCTGTTAATTAGAAAACATTGAGAGTTCTTGGAGAGTTTAATTACCCAAACACATTTTTCCTCTGTCATTAACTATAAATGCAAAGCTGTGAGTCATCTATGTAGTCATAAGAATGCCAAGATAGGATTATTGCATCATGATTCAAAATTTGTTATATAATACATTTATTTGACTTTTCTGTGCCCCATTTCTTATTTTTCTGGCCCCATTTTCCTTTTTCTTTTTAAATGTTCATGTAAATAGCTGTTCTGCAGTGTTCTCTTAGATGCTTTTCTCATTTGCTGGCACCGTGAAAATGGGGCGGAATAGTAAGGCTATATTTTTCCTTGGCCAAATTACATTGTGGAGAAGATTACAAATTGTATTATTACACATGGGTTACAGTGTATTTATAGAGCAGGCCAGAAAACATAAATTAAAGAGAGGCAAACGTTTTTGTGAAATGTTCTTACACTCTCCAGCTATCTGCAGTGCTTGACACTAGTTTTAATAGTAGGCCAAATTCTACCTAGTGCTACTCCATTTAAGATGCATTACAAGTGGAAATTATCTCTTTATAATACCAACCTGAGGTTACAAAGGTTTTTAAATAGATTTTAGCAAATCTTGCTGCATTAAAAGATGATAGTGAAGATAATTGTATAACTGATGGGCAGCTGTTATTGGGAAATAATTTCCAATATAATATAAGCCATATGTTGTCTTTGAAATTTCTTTCAATATAAAAGTTCAACAAACTCTTAAGTGAACTGCTGTCAAAGTAAACAGTGCTGAAGGCATATACTTTTTATGCTTAAAACAAAATGCATAACCACTTCAATAAATCATACCTACAGTCTTCCTTTAAGCTGTTTTGGTTGTAAGTGGTCATATTTTGAATACCTAAGTAGACCAAATAAGCATTTAGGTTTTATTCTTTTGTTAACACTCACCCACCAGTTTACCCCATCACTTGCAATAGCTCAACTGATGAAATAAGAGAACTTCAGAGGTCTACAGAATTTCTTGAAACTTCATTATACTAGTGTGGGATCCACACAAAATCCTTGTGCAAAGGTTTCAATGTATTGAACTGACTATGAAATTTTGAGGAATAAGTTGAAATGCAGACATTAAATATTGCTAGCTGTGATTTAGGTTTTGAGCTATATTGGCGCCTTACACTGCTAATATGGATTCTTAGAAGCAATATCTGAAGAACTAAAGTTCTTCACTAGAATAGATCACATATTGTAAATATTTTGGAAGTAATTTTTCAAATAATTTTCTTGGTTACCTGCTTATTTAATACAATGTATACTTTAAAAAATAGTCTAACAATATTTACTACCCAAAATAAATCTTACCTGATCTTGCATGAAAATAACTGCATTGTTTAAGCTAAGATGCACGTAAAATGTTCATTAAGTGTTAAACATCTTAGTCCAAATCTATTTGTGTATTTTTGACCCTTTGGATTGAGCAATGTAAGCACAGCCAACTATTAATACCATTTAAGAATGTTCATTGTTGGTTTTGTAACATTATTAGCCTATTTGAAATGTGTACATCACTGAAAAAATAATAGTCTTGTCAAAATTTGGCATAAGAATCCAGAATCTGACTTCTGAAACATAGTTTCTCTTAAATTGCCATTTGAGACCTGCTGGTCTCTCTCTAAAAGAAAGGAAGCTGTTTAGAGGCCAATATTAATTATTGCTATTATGGATTCTGGCACGTGCTTTTGTTTACTATATAGTAACTGTGACACAGAATATTTTAATAGTAATAAGGAGATAGGATAAACTATACAAAAACTAATTTGTAATTATTCTCTGTTTTTTTTTTCTGTAGTGGTCATTTGTAGTGGCTACAATTACAGAAATTCCTCCAGTTCTCTTTCTTCCCAATTTCCTTGTTCAGAGAAAGGTGCTGAAGCCTCTGAGAATGCAGACAGGAGGAACAATAATGGTAAGGTTTTTTTCTTATCTCTTTCATCAGCTTGAATTAATGAACTGCATTTTAAAAAAGTACTTAACCTGTGCCCTCTCATAGATTTTATAACTTATAAAATCTGTGCATGTAAACCAATGGATCTGTAATTGGGTTGTTTACTAATACTACACTGGACCAGGGCAAGAAGGGGGTTAATGATCTGTCATAGAGACAGTGGCTAAATCCAGCATCACATTGCAATGCCTATCAACACTATCAAGAAGCGAGGGCATGGAAAGAGAACAATCACTAAAACGGGGAGATTTTTTTCCCTATTTGGGATGGCATCTGCTCTTATCATTCTGTTTTCAGCGCATCCTGAAAAAGGATGTGCTGCTTACAATGAGTTTCTGCTCTGAAATACAGCTAGTGAGAAAATGACATCTTCTTACTGTTTATTTTGTGTATTCAGAAATTTGTACCTCCTCAAATTAGTGATTAAAATAGAAGTTTTAGTGGTGTTATCACTATAGAGAGAGCCCGGCAAAAATGGAGTGAGTTGTATTCTGTTTAATCATTACAGAATTGTTTCCAAATTCCAATTAGTTACATCTGTTCTTCCTCACTGCAGGCAGTGGAGTTGCACAGGTGTCACTGCGGGCTTATTTTTTCCTACAGAACCTTTATTACAGACAGTGAGATGCCAGATGGAAAGAACCCCTGAGACTCTGAGCCAAAGCTGAGTTTGCAGGGCCAGTAATTTGGGGAAAAAACATCTTTTTCGTTGTAAACCCACCACATTTTGATCATAAAATCAGACGGCAACAACCACGGAACCTGTCTATGTTGTTTGTCAGAGTAGAAGCACATTTCAGAGCCAACCACAGTGCTGGAAGACCTTAATGGCATTCCCTATCTCTTTTCACAGGAGCTGACCTATAGCAATGAAAATGAGGGATTTTATCTAAAATCACAATCATTGTGCTGGCAAATAGATTTTCATTGCTTCTACTGCAGCTTCACTCTCCCGTGCCCTTCCCAAACTAGCTGTTAGAGTGGAGATCCATGGAAAGATACAGAATCCCACATTACATATGTTAAGGCCAGCTATTGAAGTGCATTGTCTTGAGGAGTGTACTTATTTTTTTTCCTTCAGATCTAGAAATCGGGGATGGGCAAAATCAGGTCCAGGAGCCAGATCTGGCCCACCAACCATTTCTCTCTGGCCCGCCCAGCTGATTAGCAGAGAGTGCATATTTACAGCCAGCCACATGTGTTCAGCTGCCCTCCCCCACCTTGCTAGGTCATGTAGCTGAGCTGCTTTCAGGATTTTCCTACTAGCTGTTTGTGGGTGTGTATGGAGGGGCAGGGAGTGCTGACGTTAGTTTGTCCCCCTGCCCCTATAGCCCATCTCTGCAGAGCAGGGGTTGGGGGGAGGGAGACACAGCGTGGATGCTCAAGGACCCAGAGGAGTGCAGAGCAAGGGACAGGGAAGACCACAGATCAGGACACATTTCCCTTAGGCTATGTCTACATTGAGGAGCTTTTCCAAGATACTGGAGGTATCCCGGAAAAGCTCTGGTGCATCCAGGGAACGCTTCTACTTTTTCGGAACAGTTTCCAAAAAAGCGGATGTGTTCTTTCGGCATCCCTGTATTCCTCATTGTATGAGGAATAAGGCGTGTTCCAAAAGAGGAGTTTGGGTCACATTTCAAAATAGCCTCTTCGGGGGGGGGGGGGGGACAGAAAAATATATGCAATTTATATATCTTTTTCCAATAGAACTCTGCGGTCTAGACATAGCCTTAAAGAGACAGTGTGTGGCTTCTCTCAGAAACTTACCCAGAAGCATACACAGTTTCTGTGTCATTGTCTCACACCTAGTGGCTGTGTGTGTGTGGCACAGAATCAATCACATACACACTTGCCATACACACAAAGGGTCTCTTTCACAGTCATTTGTTTTGTCTTCTCTGTAGCTCCTAACCTCACCCCTTGTATCTGAGGCCCCGTTCGTTCAGGGGGGCCTGGAGACGGCCTGTGACCATGTACCGACATTTGTGAAGTGGCCTCCCTGTTAAAATTATTGCCCATTCCTGGAATAAAAGATTTCTTTCATCTTACTAGCAGATATAATAGTGGAGGAGGCTGGGAAGCTAGAAGGGAACAGTAAAGCAGCAGCAGTATTTTCACAAAACTGAGAGGATATCTGTGTTAATTGTTGGTTAGTGGTGATAATAGGCACTTTGCAGCAATCAGATTGAACATGAAAAGCAAGATGCATTTTTTTTCAAATTCTTCCTTTGGTGAATAATATCAAAGATTCATTGAAGATGCAAACTACACATAAAGGCTTATGGGGGAGGAGTAGCAAGAGGCCACAAAGCTAGGGAAGGGAACCTCAGTCTGTGTTAATCTCACGGTCCTCCCACTGTCTCTGGTCTCCTCTTCCCCTCCTCCATGAGTGCAAGGTCCAGCTGTGCAATACTGGGAGCTGTCCCTTTTAACCTTTACCCAATTCTGAACACTGACTGCAATTATGAAGAATCTGTAATCTTAACAGCATTATGTGAATTTCAAATCCTGTCATTTCTATTCCAAGTGAGCTTCCTAAAGGCTGCATGGAAGGCAAAAAACTCACCTGATCCCGTGTCAGTTTGGCCTAGTGGGAAAAATTCCTTTCTGATCCATAAAAATGGGATCAGTCTGACCCACAGCATCATAAACAGCATCACTCCTAATCTACACCTCAGGGGTCCAGAGGTGGGACAACTAATGAGCAAGTAGAAGCTTTTGAAAACCGCAGAGTACTGTAGTTTAAATAAAGAGGGGCACCCAGCAGCCAATAGGCTGCCTCTGTATCCCTTTGCCAAGCCAACAGCTAAGCAGAAAACTGCTATGGAGGTTAGGGAGAAGGGGCAGAGCTCCTTTTCCTGTCAAACACGTGCATTTTGGGCTTCTCTCATTCCCAGGTATCTCGTAAAGGTCCTCTGATACTAAAGGTGTAAGAGGTATTATTTAAAGCAACCAAAATAGGAAGTTAATTTCACTTTATTTAAAAATTAAATAAAATTAAAGACTTAAAATTAATTAAAATACACTTTTAAAAACATCTATTTTAGATGTTGTGTATATTTTTGCTAGTTTTGGGAAATGCTGTATTCCCAAAAGAAGGATTGATTGTACCATAAGAAGAGAGCCAGAACTGTAAAATACTGCATTGGTTATAATTAAAATTCATGGAGTAAAATATCTTATCCCTTGTGTTTTTGTTTTATGTGGCAATATTGTCAGTCAGGTTTACTGCAAGCAGTGGGTTTGCAGTAAGCTATATTCAGTGTTTATTCAGATTTATGCATGTTTTAAAAATAGCAACATATTCTTGTATGGCAAGAAACATTCCTGATGCAAAGGCACATAACAAATAGTAAAACTGTAGAAAGCACTTACTTGAGTTTCTGTAGCATAATTATTTAGACTAGACCTTTTGAAGTAATAAAATACACAAGGCCAAATTCTTCCTTTATGTCCTTGAAAGGAGTGTAGATAGTGCCCATGAAAGTCAGTGGGACCTATACACATTTAACCTAGGGCAAAATTTTGCCCATAGCTCTCAAGAAATGTTATCATTAATCAATACTCAAGAAGAAAGTACCACATCTGTCATGGGAAAAACTCTCTTTGATGTTAATGAACCTGGTTAGTTCCCAGAGGAGTTTATCATTAATATTAAACTGTGAATGTATTATTAATTGCTGTTGAAGAAAATACTGCAAATTAGCATTTGCCAGAGGGAAAATATATAGTGTTTTTAGAATTCTATAGCTTCATATTGTTCAGGCTGCACAGGACAGCATGTATTTTAGAGTATGTCTTTCTTTCTTTCTTTCTTTCTTTCTTTCTTTCTTTCTTTCTTTCTTTCTTTCTTTCTTTCTTTCTTTCTTTCTTTCTTTCTTTCTTTCTTTCTTTCTTTCTTTCTTTCTTTCTTTCTTTCTTTCTTTCTTTCTTTCTTTCTTTCTTTCTTTCTTTCTTTCTTTCTTTCTTTCTTTCTTTCTTTCTTTCTTTTATAAATAAAAATAAAAGGGAAAGTGTTTCAGAAAATGATAGAATTACATAGTCTAATGAGAAACAGACTGTTGAGTACATGCTTTTTTGGTTTCTAACGTGGACTGGATTTGGTCCAGTGATGTAGAGGTGGGAAGTTCTATATCTCTTCATGCACTCAGACCCATCTAGTAGTTCTCATGTTGAAATCAGAATGCTTTCTCTGTTGAGTCAAGGTTGGCATTGAACTTTCTTACACTTCAGGTTTTGCTTAGCCAATTTAAGTTTTTTAAAAATGTAAGCCGTACTAACGAGGGCCCTGAACTGCATCAGGAGACCTGTGTTTTCTTCACTGATCTGCCACCCACTGGCTATCTGTTTGGGCAAGTTGCCTTATCACTCTGTGCCTCTGTTTCTATCCCCATTCTTTCTGTGTCTTTCCAGTTTATTCCCAATCCCGCCAAAGCATATGCACATGCTTTAGCTTTATGCATGTTGAGTCTAACAGGACTGCTGCCAGTACTTAAAGTTAAGCGTGTGCATAAATTATTGCAGGATTGGGGCCACAGATCTGTAAGGTCATAAGGACAGAGTCTCTCATTATGTTTGTAGAGTGGCTTGCACAACAGGGCTCTGATTTTGGTTGAGGCTCCTACATTCAGCCACAGTACAACTAATATAATCAGAGTTACTCACATTTTTAATTTCCAAGGCACCTTGCCATTATCCTTTTTGTAAAACTCCATCACAGCAAGGCAGAGCCAGCGACATTATAACTACCCTATTATTTAGATGAATTATAGATGATTGTGGGAACACAGTTCTACTTTCCTACACACGTTTATTTAATAAGATAAATCTGAAAAGTGTTTGAGTACTTACTTTTAGTATTGCTTTAGCATTTATTCACAAAATTTTCATGTTTTTCTTCTCAGATGTATTGTCAAAATTTTATGTCCAGCATAGCCATTAATTAAAATATTATTAACACTTTATATTTTCAAGCATTCTATAAACACGTACAAAATAAATTGCCTTTTATTCATAAAATTTCTGCTGATTGGTGCTGTTAACTGTACAAATTGCTTTCCCTAATTCTGCAACTAAAATCTCATGTTTGTCAAGGATCTCCAGTTTCCTGCCAGTTGTTGTAATTAGTCATCAAGAGATATTCAGGAAAGAAATAGAATGGATAACTGGTGGACGGGTAATCTGTCATGTATGATTGTTCACTTTAAGCATTCAGAAATCACTTTTGACAATATGTCTTAATGTTACGCACATAATGGCATCTTAATTCTCTGTGTGAAAGAGTAATTTGCTCACTGGTCAGTGATATTAAACATTGAAAACATTTTGTAAAATTTTTATCTGTTATCTACATAATCACATGCTCAAGTTGTGTTGCAAAAACTGTTTGATTTTTCAAGACTTCTAGTTAAACAGCATAATTGCTTATCCTTTCCGATGTGATTCATGTATTCATAATCACACAGAATACTGACCTGTTTAAAATATGTATTTATATATACACACACATACACACACACACACACATACACATTTGGCAGAAGCATTGCTAATATGATGATAAAGATGAGAATTAACAATTTAGCAAGTAGATCATGAAATCAAGAAGCAAACTGTGAAAGTTAGCACAGTAGAAAGATTTTACATAAATTTCCAACAAAGGTGGAAAAGTGGCAGAAGAGGTTGTGATTCTACTGTGGAGGTTACAGCTACCCTGAAAATAAAGGTCACATTTTCTCTTTTTTTTTTCTGCAATGGGTTGAGGAATAAGATAGACAACTTCTACTACCAAGTCACCTAGGCAGTGCTGGGGCCAGTGGTACTTTCCACATTTATGTACTGCCACAAGTTATTGATTTCATTGGTGTGGGATCTAGTAAAGAATATCTTGCCCTTTTTTGAAACAAAAGACAGGACTAACACGGCTACATCTCTATTACTATTGCCCTTTTTTGACTGTGTTTTCTTAGTACCATTCCTTCTCCTCTCTGGTCTTCAATTTCTGCTTCCTTTTTTCCCTTTTCATTTTGATTATATCCTTACTTTCACTGTGTTTTCTTGAAGATTGAGGAAGAATAAGTTAGGAAAAAAGGAAAGCGCTTGAATATATTTGTAACAATTTCTAATGCTGTTTGGCCAGCCCAAAGCTGCCTTGAAAAGCAGGAAAAGTAGATATGCTATCTGGAATATTATCCTTGCCTACATTATTCATAAAAGATTGCTTAGCAAGAAGTGCAGAGAGAAAGTGATAAAGTCATTGTCCAAAATTTGGGATCCTGTGAGAGGTGTCCTTTTATTAATATGGATAAAGTAGCTGAGGTAGAAACAAGTGTAACTTCTTCAGCAGGCAATTTATTGCCAGTGCCCTAAGTGGAAAAGGCAAAAGCAGATCAGTGTGTGAGAGCTGAAGACTTAACTGCATGTGGACTTTAGTTTCATCTCATAATTCTCATTCAAGTCTAAAATAAGCAACTGGAATATAGTGACCTGCAAATTCAAAGCAGCAGTAACAAATAGGGTGAAATTCTGTGTCATATACAGCCAGGCAACGTTGTTGATTTTAATGGGAATGAATAGGGATAGTTGAGGATAGAATCTGGACTGCAATTTTTAAGCATTTGTGTTACAGAGGGAGGCAATAGGAGGAAGAAGAAAAATCATTCTCTAAAATTATCAATTACTGTCAGAGGGCCCTTGCCATGCTGCTTAAAACTCTTTTTATTTCCCTGCTAGTGGATTTCCTCTGAATGCTCTTGTGGCTGTTTCACTGCCTCTTGCTAGTGCTACAGCACTATCTGGGAGCCTTGCACCAGTCTCTCTTAGTTGTGTAGTAATAGAGATGTAGCCGTGTTAGTCTGGTCAGATCTGAGGAAGTGGGTCTAGCCCACGAAAGCTCATCACCTAATAAACCATCTTGTTAGTCTTTAAAGTGCTGCATAGTCCTGTCTTTTGTTTTAGTTGTGTAGTGTGAATTGTTATAGAGAGACAGTTCTCCGTGATGAGACCAGAGTTGATGTCATTCTATTAGCTATTCGTAAATCTGGATTTTGGGAGAGCGTTACTCATGTCGTAAGCTCTTGGGGCTGGGACTGTTACGTTTGTGTAATGCCTAGCACAGTGGCACTCTTATTGCTACTGTAATACAAGTAATAAATAACAATAGTGGCGATTCTATGGTCATGATTTCCACGCCTCTGTGTTCCAAGCTTCCTCTAGTTCTCATCACAGAAATACTCTTCCATGTTCAAAAAAAAAAAAAAAAAAAAAAGCATAGTGTCTGCCTGCATAAACTGAATTCATCAAGCAGTAAATAAAGGCCTAAACTATCTGTGTGCTCTTAAAAATTCAGAAGTATAACATATGTGCCTTCATTGCTGCCAGTGCCGTCGCTAGTGTTATGAGAAATACCTGGGAAGTATACTGAATGAGGAGTTAGTGGAGAAGCACTGTGACTTCCGGGTTCTGCCCGTCCGTAATCCCTCTTTAAGGTCGAAGCTGGACATATTGGCAGTGTTTGGGTAGTAAAATGACATTCTCTTCCTCCCCTCTCCCCCAGTTTCTTAAATATTAAGTAATCTTCCAGAGGTATCCAAAGACCAATTTTAGGTATGGAAAAGCTCCTTGTCTCTTACTTCGAAGCTTTCCAGGTCCCCTTACAAATGCAATTTTCACTCTATGATTTTTTGGAAATAATTTATTTTGTTAGATATTATAACATGTCCTTTAAAAATATTTGACACTTGAAGTACTTATAATTTATCAGTCATCAGTGAACAGTATTGTGAATGAAAATAATATCTGCTTTCAAAAGCAAAAATGCTCCTTTAAGATGGCTCTTCGCTAATAATATTTTGCATTTTTTATAAATTCAAGTTTTCCTAATTCCAGCATAGTGTGTCCTCTCTTTGTTGACTCTCCTTTTTTGAATGCGCAAATGAGCAGTCATCACCATTTCCATAAATCTGAGGAAAAGAATTGTCGACAAATACAACTTAATAAAAAAATCCCAGGACATTTTTCATATTGCCACTTTACTCACTGGTAACTATAAGTGCATCAATATGTTTGCATTTATTTACAGGTTCTCAATGCATTATTTGGGAGATTATTACATAAATTGGAATGATATAAAAAAGGATTGAACACTATGTTTATGCTTGTTATGTTTGGAAGCTTTACCTATTGGAACAATTTTCTCTCATTACTGCACTTTTCAGTTTGGCTACTAGGGGTCAGTGTTTGTCTCTGCATAGCAAAGTTAATTTTACACGAACAATTGGAACATAATGAAATATAGACATCTCGTTAAAGGGTCTCCTCCAGCATGCCTTGCTATGGTAAAACTTCAATTATTGTCTTTAGAGGCTATGTGGGAACCTTCATAATGCCTAAGGGATACAGGATAAAGGCCTAAATTGTCATAGTTCACGCATTCCTGAATTTCTTATTTTATTTTTCTTAAAGGCGGGAAAACTTGCCATTGACAGAGGCTGGGCAATCAACGTGGGTAAGCACAGATGTAATTAACCAAATGAAGCTTTACCAACTACTTTAAAAAATAATTTATTTCCTCTCAACATGACCTGTAGCCTCAAATGTAAATGTCCAAAGTTAATTTTAGAGAAGATATGCTAATTTTAGTATTTTAGAGAAGAGAATAAGTTTTAGAGAAGAATTTGAGAAGAGAATTTTAGTTTCCTAGTCTACTATGATCCATATTATGTTTTTGTGGTAAACAAAACAATCGGATTCTCCTAAGAGAACAAACAATAGAATGCTTATTTGTGATAATAAATCTTCATTTTTCTGTTATTAATTATATAAAGGTAGACAATATTAATATTGTTTTGAAAAATCTGAATATTTACATGATAAAAGCTAAATTTTCCACTCTATAAAACTGTGATTGAAGCAGAAGTTCTTGGAATGAAAAAACTGGAAAAATAAGGACAAAAAATAGGATTTGGAAGAAAAATTACATGATATATTGTGATAGGTTTCTAAATTTTCATTAAATGTTTTTTAAAAAAATCAGTCACACAACATCAAATATCACCTTAGAGACAATATACAATGAAACAAAGTATATTTTATTCATGTATTATTTTAATCTCAATCATAACAACATTCAAAACCTAAGGAACATCCATATTTATTACCAAAATGATTTTTCAAATGATGTCTAATAATCAAATCTGTAATTACCTTGAATTTTATTTGATTTAGTTCACTGTCATCATTATCCTATGTTAAGTGCAGGATGGTAGCTCTGCAGTTGCTTATTAAATATACTTCTAGTGTGAAATTCATTCCAGGGTCAACACAAGGCCCAGGCACCTCTTATGTCTCTAGTTTTGAGAGGATGGTCCAATGCTATTGCTTTTGATTGGGGTCATAGAAAACCTGGGTCCACTGATGACATTGTATGAGATCTTGGGCACTTAGTTCCTCTGTGCCCTCAGTTTTCCCTCTATAAATGGAGATAATAGCATTTTCCTTCCTCACAGGGATTTAATGAGGAGATATCATTATCTAAGGCCATATCTCCATTTGCCATGTAGATCGATCTGGCATTTGATTTAGCAGGTAAAGACCCACTAAACTGAATACTAAGGGTGCTCTCGGTCAGCGCTGGTATAAGGGAAGCCAACGGGAGCATTGGCTCCTGTCCACCTTGCACCAAGCTTGGCTTAAGTAATGTCGATTCCAGTTATGTTATTTATGTAACTGGAGTTGCGTACCTTAAGCTGACCTTCCTGATCTAGGATAGACCTGGACTAAAACTACTACAGTAAAGGGGGGGGAACATAAAATACCCAAGGTACATGAATAGGGATTTAAGTCATGCATAGCCCATTGAGGCAAAAAGTGTGCTGGCCTTCTGCACCTTGGTGAATTTTATCCCAAGTTTGCAGACAAAGATGAATGTTATTTTAAAAAGATATGTGAAGTTTTACAATTGAGGTTAATTACATTATATATAAATTTTTCCTTACAGAAGGTTTAAAAGATATAGTACTTTTTGTGAAGACATAAACTTGTTTGAAACTTACTCAGGTGAAACACTTCCTGGGAAAGTAGAGAATGTTAATTATGGGCACAAATGCTATGAATAAGAAAATGTTGTTTGCTTCCAATGTTCTGTTCCTTGTCATACATTAAAAGGTAATCATGATGGACACAGTTTGTACCCATGTTTGCCAAACTAATAACAGTACAGTATGACACTTCCGAAACAAATTAGCAATTTCACTGTGCCCTTGTTGTACAACTAAATTAGAGTATCTGCTAAATTTTAGAGGAACATAGAGACCTTGACACAGTTTGGTTTGGCTTCCTGCTCCCTCAGTACCCAGTTCAGAAGGCTTCAGAAAAAGGCAAAAATAAAGTGGAAAAACATTTAATATTTTAAACCTTGTGGAATAAATTCAAAGTTTTCACTTTACCTTAATGGTTCTTCCCATTCATTGCTTGGAGAACACAGCCTTTTTGGAGGATCGTATTAATCTATAGGAAAATTCTTTTTACTTACATGTAGAGATTCCTATCTAGAGACTTGGTGTTCCTACCTATAAATTATTGGCATTTAATACACACTTAAATGATGCTAGATTAGAATAGTTGAGAGATTCATTCTGACTGTAGCATGATTCAGAGTTCTTTTATTTCCATAAAACTTACCGCAGTGCGGCTTCCCTTCAGTGTCCCAAATAAACAGAAACCATGTTGCATTTAACTCAACTTCAGGACTTATTTTTCTGTTTTGTCAATGTCCATTTCTGTTTCACTACAAAATTGAAATATTTTATGCATGTAATGAACCCTACAGTGTGAAAAAATAAAAGTTAATGGTTTGAGAAATGCAACATGTTTTTTATGGGCACATATATTACATTTCTAACCATCAGTTATGAGCACATTTGCATGCAAATCCTATCATGAAGTAAATAAATAGTAGTGGCACCTAACTACACTATTTTGCTAAATAAATATGCATTAATTCTGCCACAGAAGAAAAAAGAATCTTTGGTCTCTCCCAACCACAGAAATCTTTGGAACTTCTAATATTGTAGTGAGGGCTTAGTTATAGGCATGGATTTGTGGAATTACTGAGATTACTTCATTTAAAAGAGACGTAACTGTAGTAATTACAAAGGGTATAATGGAAATATATTTTGGTCCTCTTTCTAGCCTTTTTCATAATAGGGCAAAAGGAGGAAGGACAATGCCTGTACAAGGAATAGTCAGGGCTATAATTAAATTTGGATGTCACCGGGTCATATATGTTTGATTCTCCCTCCCCCCTTTAACGTATATTTGAGACATTTCTAAAGATGGCAATTCCCACATAGTGAGCATATGTGAAGCCATTATGTCTTAAAAAGAATTTGAGCAAGTTTGTACCGCAAGAGGAAAAAACCCCAGACTTGTTAAGAGCATATATAAAATATTAACTTTTTCACTCTTGTGGACATATCTTTCCATTGTTTCTTAATATAATCCTCTACAGAATAAACATCAGGATTAAAAAATAAAACAAAAGCAGACATGTTCTGTGGAAATTCAGATGGAATTATGTTTGTAACTTTATATGGGTTGAAACAAAACAATATGTTGCATCTGTCCTTTAGTTTAATGCCTATAGATACAGGATGGCTTTGGGTGCATTGGCTGTACTCACTGACAGTTATGGTTCTTGTTTTGGGCTGTTGCTAACCCCTGACTTTCAGATTGAGAAGGATTTACCCATTCTATTCACTCCATAAGTTAATTGGGTACATTGTGGGGATTTTCATCTCCCCCCTCGATAATTCATTCGCTTATTACTGTGGCAGAAGTACTCTAGCATACTTGTGGCACAGTTACTGAGTCAAGCAAATTTACACTTTGATGAGTTGAATTGGCACATGACTCAGGATAGGTGGGCCATGGATGAGACGTGCCTTACTACAAAGCATGGGTTCTAATGTAGCGCATAATTGTAGGGTGCCAAACACATCACCTTTTAAGCATAGTTCTTTATATGATTCCAAGATTTCCAGTTCTGGGGCCAGATTACTTCAAAATGGGACACATACTGCTCCTTTTTCTTGGGACCTGATAGGCCAAATATATATGAAGGGGTGATATTGAATGTGATATGCTGCCAGGACAATAGGTTAGGGGTTTTAGAAGTTTTGTTCAATTTAAAAAATGACAATCATTGCTTAAATAAAAAGTAAATACAAACTGACCTCACATTTACAGTGATAGTGCTTTTCATAGTACCTAGCTTTTTAGCGTAGTGTTTCTTTAAAGCTACATTTTTACATTTAGGTGGTGGCTTCCATCACTGTTCAAGTGATAAAGGTGGAGGGTTTTGTGCATATGCTGATATCACACTGGCTATTAAGGTAGGACATTTAAAGTAATTTTCTCTACTATTTTTACAAATGAAAAATTTATCAGCATACATTTCTTAAATCACTAGTCTAACTTACCTGATGCAGCAGCATTTACGCATGCATACCTGCCACTAAGGAGAGCTATAATTGTGTGGGGAAGTGCTGCAGGATCAGATTACTACACGCAAGTATGACCCAGTACAGTTTTGTTACAATTCTTTCTTTCAAATAAGATACCATAGGTTAATTAATTGTTTTAAAATCTCTAGTGGGAACTGTCCTGATTCTGCAATTGCCAAACCAGGCACCATGTAGGTCTACACTGATTTCTACTGACATTTGCATCCTTCGGAGATCCAGTTGCAAGATCTTGCCCTAGATGCATGGTGTCTTCCTAGATAAAAATGTGAAGTCTTCAAAAATCAGGAAGGGGAGAGTTTGAAAGACTTGATTATATTTAGTGTTGTATGTTCTGTAAACAAACATGCATATACAGAGGCAGAACTAGACCTCCTGTAACTAAGACTTAATTACTCCTACAAAGTATATCAGAGAACATGAGCTAGTATTCTATAAAATACTAACAGAAAGAATTAAAATGGTAAGATATAAACAAATGCAGCATACTATATAGTGCAATACCCTAGCTTTTTTTGTATGTTAGTTTACTCAGTCTCTTAATCTGCACTGGGTCTCCCAACTATTCTGGTGCAAATTGGAGATTCTTTTTCCATAGTACTAAATATATTTTACCATTCATTAGTTAATAATAGGTGGTGTTATAACTCAGAGATTTTTTTGAAAACTTTAATAATGTGCTTTCTCAGCCATGTGAAATAGCAAATAATGAATTCCACTACTAGTTCATAAAGAAACTTTGAGTTATGAGTTTGGTCCCCACTACACATTCTCCAACTTTTTTATTTTGAGAGAGAGAAGAATGCTCTTTATGCCCATTCAGTCTGTGTCCTTATCACAAACCAGGTAATATATTCATCCTACACAGCCCTTTAGAAATGTAAGACATTCATTATGTGAGAACCTGCATTGCCTCTTGCAGCTCTGAACACAGGCAGTTGGACCTTTTCTTTTTTTCAATTGTAAGATTTAATATGAAAGCTAGTCTGTAAATGTAGTTCATGTATATAACGTGATGCAAATATATGGATTTGCATTGTGTCCGTAAGCTTCTCAAGATAATAGAGGCAGTCCCCGAGTTACGCGGATCCGACTTATGTCGGATCCGCAGTTACGAACGGGGCCGTCTCCCTGGTCTCCAGCAGACCAGGGAGAGGAAGCAAAGCGGCGGAGCACACAGGCAGCGG